GCTCTTCCGATCTCACTCCTACTCCTAATCCTACTCCTACGCCTACCATTACTACTACTACTACTACTACTACTACTACGACTGCTATTACTACTACTACTACTACTACTACTACTACTACTGCTACAACTACTCCTGCTACTACTACTACTACTACTACTACTACTGCTATTACTACTACTACTACTACTACTGCTGCTGCTACTACTACTACTACTACTACTACTACTCCAACTACTCCTGCTACTACTACTACTGCTACTACTACTACTACCACCACTACTACTACTACTTTTACTCCGACTACTCCTGCTACTACTACTACTACTACTACTACTATTGCTACTGCTGCTACTACTACAGCTACTGCTACAGCGTGCCGGAAATTTAGAACAATGATTTTTGCAAGATCGCCAAACAATCTTCAATCTTGACCCACTTGCCCCACCTGGGCGGGGAGCCAGATTGCAATCTTGGTCTAAAAGGTAAACGACGGCGACCATGACGACGACGACGATGACAGCTTCTCCGGCTGCTGCTGCAACCACAACCACCACCACCACCACTCTGCTGCTTCTTCATACCACGGCTGCAACCACCACCACCACCACCATCACCACCATCATCACATCAACGACGGCCAAACTGCTCCGAGCATGCGTAGCGGGGAATGGCCTATCCTTGAGAAAAACACCACTGCGATCGACCATGCATAATAGAAAGACACAAGCTCACCTTCATGGGAGCAAACGTTGAGTTTGCACGCCCCCTGAACTCCGCCGCTTCTATACTGTGAAGCCCGGCATCTGATGGCAGGAATCACCACCATTCATGACCGTATCTACAGTGTCTGCCAACAGGTGACTGAACATGGTGCCAAGAGGCGGTTGTCAACCTCCACACCCAGAGCGAAGAGGTTTATCATGCAAACGCACGCAACCAGACTGCAGAACCAGAAGCCGTCCTGAGGCTGTAGGCAGATGCGGAGCAACCGCGGGGGAACTATGGAAGAAGCTTGGAACACTTTCAATATTCTCACGTACCGAACCTAGCAGATCCGGCTTTGCTGCCGAAGTGTGGGGCAAGAATCCGTGAAGTTCTCCTGCTCGGAGCCTCAGTGCCGAAATCTTGAGAGCATACGCTGCAAGTGACAATGACCCTCCTGGAAACACATCGCAGCACGACATAACCCTGGCCGAGGCGATTGCCATGCATCGCCATGTCGCGCCTCCGCACAACTGCACAATCAAATCCTAAAGCAAAGGTCCTAAACTCTATTCACATCAGACAATGTCACCAGCAAAAATTGCACGGTTCGGCCCAAGCCCTCACACAATTCCGTCCTGTCATTCTGGGAAGAGCTCGAGCTGGACTCGGTCTGGCAACGCATGGCAACGCAGCTGAGAGATGTGTCGGCAATGACGTTCGCTTGCCGGCTGCATCTTAGAATGGGGGCTGAAGGGACGAGCAATAAGCTGCGCCTTGGTGGCAACTGACAAACATGTTCTGGGAGTGCCTCCACAAAGCTGCCGACAGACTCGTCATCCTCCAGGCTGTTCAGCCTTCCCGGCGATCACATGCAAACACGGCACTGACTCCAGAAATTCTGACGCAGGGGCCGGGACGTGCTGGAACGCATGAGAGATTGCTAAAAGCAAAGCTGAGAGGACAGGCATTCCAGGCATTCCAGCAATTGAGACTGATACAATTACTACGAGACACGATTAGCATTTATTAACTATGCCATGCCTAACTAAGCCAACTAGCTATGCACAGGCAGAAGCGCATCAAATAGGGAAGAGCTCAAGGGCTTTTAAAAAACGCGGGCCCCGCGTCCACAAACAAAGGAGCAACACCATACAACAATCCGCAACTCGATCCCTTTAGTCAGCACGTTCCCGAACCACGACATTAGCCACGACATTGTATCAGAACTGCTCACCATTGCATGCCACAGGGAGGCTACGAGCACGGTGTGCCTTGGATCCTGCGTGGTCATCGCCTGGCTGCATTCGGATTCGGGGGGGGGGGGGGGGGGNNGCAGCTTTTCTTGCAGTGTAGCGCAACATAGCGCCAGTTTGGTGAGCGTTTCACGTCTCGTGGGATCCCACAACGGATAGGGCGGGCATGCCTGACTAGGTCCCGAGGTCCCTAGCTCGAGGACTTAAGCAAAGCTGCACTCACACCGGCCTACATGTAGGTTGCAGCGGCGTCTGAGCTTGTGGGACCGTCGTGCTTGAGCCAGAAGAGATTTCGACGGGCAGGAACCGGCCTCCTCAGCCTGTGAAGCCTTCTCACTCCGAGTCTGTTGGTGAGTCGGTGCCCGATACTACTAAGACGCTGCTTGTAGCAATTCGGTTCTGCCAATGTGCCTGCAGGCCTGGTGCTGGTAGTGCAAACAACAGCGAAAGCCAGCAGACGCACCATAGTCTTGTGCGACGGACTATGCAGTTCAGTACACAGTCCTGGCCACTTCAATTTGGCTTACTGCCTATGCTGCTTAGGTTGCCGTTCTCAGAGTCAACGAAACGGTTGGTCAGGCGTTTCAGGATAGGGCCCCCGGCTTCATCTCCTTCACTTCCTGGGCTCGTGCTGCTTCAGAAGCTGACTTGCCTCCCTGCCAGCCAGAAGTGTTTGAAAGCACAGCCAGTCAGTTGACAATTGTCAACGCATTGGCAGTTGCAACGAGTCGCCCCGGCTCATAATTCAACACTTGCAACTTCTGTTGCCACACTGACACCATAAAACTCTCAACGACTCTGTGGTTCTAGTTCCTGGTCAGATGCCTGCCGTGGTGACCAGGAAGCCGCAGCATCCCGACGTTCGGAAATTGGCTGCGCCTGCCTTGCAGGTTTCGTTTCTGTGATGGCTTCTCGTCTGCGTGCTCCTAAACGGATTGAAGGCATTCCATGGCCAGACACTCTTATCAAGGGCTGAACGTGTTGACGTGATATTTCGGTACGCAACTGAAACTGAGATCACGGCCCCTTTACCTTGGGCGTGCGCCATGCATTGTGGTCCTTGGCACCAGGCCCTGTCTGACCACGAAAGAGCACAGTGCAATCATAAGTGTGCAGGGACGGCTTCGGGCCACCCTTCAGTATGCGAAAAAAGGCTAACTGCTTTCCCTGCATACCTCTGTTAAGTAAGGTCCGAGGGAGCAGCGAAACCCGGCGTCTCATCCACGACGTCTTGCCTGGAGCAGCAAGTGTTTTGCGGGCAACACACCTCACTCGTCAAACCCCCCACCAACCCCAATAAATGTCGAGTTCTTATCACATTTGCCAGGATGTGGCCAACCAAAGAGTGAGCCCCGAACTCTCGGACGCATCCTGCGTGCTGGGCCGGCTGCGCGGCGTATCGTTTCTTCTTGGGAGTGCCGGCGCCGGCACCCATCTCGGATTCCTCTCGGGCTAGTCGCTAAGCCTGGCCACAACCAGAAGAGTCTTGGCTCAGACAGTTGCAGAGCTGCGCAGAGCTGAAGCGGCCTTAAGCTGCAGCGGCTGCACCAGGCCCTGGGCATGGAGCCTTCACGGGTGCGAGGGGAAACACAACAATGATAAAGAAAAATCTGCACAAGCTTTAACCAATCGTGCCTTCAGGCCGTCCCGCATCGCGGAACCCTGAAAAAGCACATTGGCTTTGAGCCGCTGGCGATGCAAGGTTTGCGGCCGGGCGGATCCGTGCAAAAAAGAGCCCCAGACGAGAGCAGAACATGGCCAGCCTATCTTACTTGTGGCAAATCTGCCCCCAGGCAACCGGTAAGTATGTCAAGGGCAGTTGCAAAGTCTGCTCGGTTTTCACAGACTACTTCGGCCCGGCTGACCCCTTCCTGTTGCCCCATTATCTTGATGCTTTAACTTGCTGGGTATGGGGGGATCGTGGGAGACAAGTCTGTGCCCGGTCATCAAGTTCAAGGAGCGCCCGATCAACTCGCGCGATGCGCCCCGGTGGGGCCTGAGAAAGCTGCTGTCAAGAAAGAATCGCAGGAGTCTTCCAGCTATCCTAAGCTTGTATCTTTTACTCTCGCAACGTAGAGTCCCGACTCTGTAAAAACACTACTCCAGGACATGTGAGTTGAAGTCACGAGCAACTGCAACTAGCACAACGGCACATGAGAAAGACTCTGAAGAGCGAAGCCGTCTCGCGGCCAACAACCAATGCTTGCAAAATACTAGGGTGGCGGCTCTGCGAAGTCCGTGGCCTAGCAGCAAAAAAATGCAGGCTACGGGCCAAGGGGGCGCCCCAAAAGGGCACAGAACAACATGAGGGGTGTCCATTCAATGTTGACGTCCGACATTCACACACCCCTCCCACTCCGTGTCTTGGCCTGCAGCTCACGAAATGCAATCCAAACGCGGACGGCGAGGACAACCTCTGACTCTGTCACTCAACAAGCTCCACCGATATTCACATAGGGCTTGGTCCCCCACAAGGATCTCCATGCATCTCGTTTGCATACCAGCTTAAGGCTCACAATGCCAAGGATCTTGCATTGCAGCAGCTAGCCATTGCCGGCCTGGTTTGCAGCACACACAAGGCCTGCGATCTCCTGCTGGCTAATGGTGCTAGTTCTGCCTCAAGGGAGAAGGTCATGGGGTGTGGTCGGAACGATGTTTTAAGTACTCTGGAAAGGGTGGGAACGAACGGAAAATTTTCGTCAGCCCGGGTCCGCAACCCCGGGTCCGGAACAACTTGGTCCTTTAAGCTTTGGGCCCAGAACTTCGGAGTTGCTACCCCAGCGCCCACAAAGGGAGGGTTTTGCCCTAACTCTAAATCCCGAAACCCGAAAACCCTGAACCCACAAAGCCTATACAAGCCGACACCGGAAACCCTAAACCCGGAAACCCGTTTTTGCAACAGGCCTCGCCGCTTTCCGGTTTTGAATCCCCCCCGTCCACGTCGTCTTGAAAACATCCGTGAACATGGTTGTTATTCCAGTATAATTATCCACGACGTCCCATGCACTGGAATTGTACTTTAAGGCACCCCCCATGCGAATTGCAAAACAAAGTAAGATCACGAGGCTACAAATCTGCCGTGTATGCACACAATTTCATTGGCTTCCCGACTGCTATAGTGCAATTATGCGCAATTTGACACGCAGTGTCCAGAGGTGCTATCAAACCGACCGTTTGGGGTCGCGACGGTGCCAACCTTAGACCATGTGCCGTGCTTTTCGCTTTTGAGACCACTGCATGCCACGTCATTTTACAGAGGTCTTGGTCATCTCAATCTGACTTGAAATCACTACTAAGTACAGGCAAAGCCAGAGGCAGCGACAAATGTTGCAAATGTTTGTTCTTCACCGAGGCCGTCGCAGAGCAGGTGGCCGAAGATGTTTATCAACCTGCAAGTCCGACATGCAAGCATTATGGAAGGTGAAACAATCGAAAACTGTCCCGGCTGTCACGGCTGGCAAGCATGGCTTGGTACCGCACTACGAGCATGAGGAAGGACACGAGGTACAAGATGGAAAATGGCACGAGGCTGGCAAGCCTAAGTTCAGGTCAAAACAGGTTTTGCAAGTGGCTTATCCTGCAAAAAATGTTCGGGAAAGCCTTGCAGTCGCCACATCTGAGCCGAAAGCACTCCAAAGATCACCTGCCGTGCATCGAACACCACCCTCTGAGTTTTCCATGTTTTCCTTCTCCTGGTCAAGCCCAGGGGCCTTAACATACGTCCTGCTTACATACGTACTACCCGTACTTACATAACCGGGACACAAACGCCGGCCAACCAATGCTTGCGTTTCTTTTTATTTTTGGGCATCAGCACACGCGAACCCCGCACGCGACACCGATTCATTGTTGGCAACACAATCTTGTGCAAACCTCAACTGAATTCTGGCCGGGATAATTTTTTGGAATGCAACCGGCCTCTGACAGTGCCTTAACTTTCTGACCTTATCAAGAATCCAAGGTGCTGAACATTGCACTGGTGACACCATGCGACACCCTCATTCTCGCTGCAACTGATCGCGCTTGCCACTAGTCTGAGTTCTCAAAGCGGAAGCGCGTGGATATAACAGGCAAGGGAACTTTCCACGCCTGGCCAAAGGACGACGTCTCGCTGACGCGATGTCCGTCCTGCCAGATGTCGGGTAATACAGGAGTGATTTCGAGTAGGGTTATCATAATTTCGTTGATATGCGCAATGGACAAAGATCAGGAGCGGGCATGTCAGCAAAGAGATCGGACGTGCTGCCACATCCCACAAATTCAAAATCCCCTGCGAAAGTCCTGCGCGCGACCTGGTTGAAAAAACAGCACTAGAGGCCTTAAACAGACGACGCACCAGGTGCCGAAACGCCGAAGCGCCAACACTGCATGGCAAAGCATGATTGTACTTTTCAATATGTGCTCTGCCCCTGAGGGTCGGACACTAAGGATGCCCGCACGATGGCTGCCTGATTTGATGTACATGCCGTGTCGACGGACTGAAACCGAACAAACGGCAACGAACCGCGACTGTTGAAGCCAGTTGCAGTCGGAGCAACGCACAGGAAAAAGGCATCCCAAGGGCCAGACGATACAGCCCACGATGTCGATCATAACACCCTGCGATGCAAACTTGCACTGGGTTTTACTTGCAGAGCTTTAAGTAATCGACGTCGCACCGAGGCCCCGGCGAGTCTGACAGCCTTGGTTTGTTGCGTTTCTTCGGACCTCGTGGAACTTCTGGGCTCATCGCTGTCATCGATCGGAAACACGAACCCATGGATTGATGCACATCGACTGGGGTTCATGCAAGATGAATGCATGCCACCTTGCGAGAGCAACATGCGAAACACATGACCATCGAAACAACACAAAAACGGAGCATGCTTGTCCAAGTGTTGCCCCGGCGTGCCCCCGGCGTTGCGGCGATGTGTATGTAAGCAGCTTCCGACTGCACCGCCACATGTCGAGTGTCGCTCAAGCAGCAATGTGAAAGGTGCGTGGCCCGGTCCGCTACGACTTTCCAACGCTGCCAGCAAAACGTCAGAAAAGTGTGTGAAGCGTCTGCAAATATTTCTGATTTCGGTTTTTTCCGTCGCTATTCGACCGCTGTGTTCTCTGCAGCTTAGCGCGCGTTGGGTACGCAGGGGAAGCTTGGAGGACTGTTCAGCGAGCTGACATGACCTGACGCAGCCTCGCGGTCGCACAGATGCGTTCCGGCCAGTGGCACCGACACAGCGATCGCAACTGTTCAGAACAGTGGCGACAGAGCAGGAAAAGAGTGCCGGACCACTGATTGGCGCATGCTTGCACTTGGTGCCGCGATGTGCCGCGCCAGGCACTCCAAATCTTCGCCGGACCATTGATTGGCGCATGCTCGCACTTGGTGCCGCGCCAGGCACTCCAAATGCTTCGAGTGCCGGCTGCAGGCAGGGTAAGGGTAAGGGATCGGGAGGTTTTCCGGAAGGTAGGCACCCTGAGCGGCCGGAAGGAGGAGCTCAGCCGCTCAGTCGAGCTTCCCGATGCCCGCACGCATTGGGCCGTTGTGCCTCGCCGGCAGGATCGGGGGATTGCCTCGATCATGGGAGGCCCAGTGGATCTGCATGCGCTGTCAAAACGAGTTCCGTGCCGACAGCGTGCGGCCGCCAGGGTCCCGCATTGTCTCACGCTCCTACTTTGGGAAGTTGACATGGCATCGCAATAAACTGAGCGCTGGGTTTGCTCGCGCTGTCCATTTGCGCACTCCGCCCTACCTTTAGCGCTTGTTGCTACAAATCCTCCTGCCTCCTTGCCCGCCTTGCCCGTGAGGGAACGTGCCCAATAACACCGCCGTGTTGCCACCGCAGCCAGCGAGCTCCCCCCATCCCTCCACTGGCCACTACGCTACTGCCAAGCCGACAGAGCTCCCCATGCTGGCGAGCACCAATTCTCTTTTTTCCCCTTTCTGCGAACGGTACAACAGCGGTCCCAGTGCACCTGCTGTCTACATGGCGCCTGCAGCCGGGAGGCGGCTGGGGGCGGGGGCATCTAGCCAGCGTTCGTCTTGCAGGACCTCATGCACAGCCAGCTCGAGGCGACAGTGTCGAGGGGGAGCTCAAACAGAGAGCAGGCGAGGGCCGTTTGCGCCGCGACGGCGATGATGCTGCTCCAACGAGACGCATATAGGAGCTTGAGGAAGGTTGCGGGCTCGGGGCCCCAGCGGCCACCAACCTCGACAGCGAACACAACGAGGTGGCAGCGCGGCGCGCGCGCAAGCTCGGGGTAGGTGTCGCGACGCTTCCGCCTCGTCGCTTGCTGA